TAGACAGGCTATTGGAGCAGAAGAGTCCTTGGTCTGACCAGGGATGGTTATTTTTATGACCACATTTTTGTTCATTTAGTGTCAGTAGGGTGCCACTAAGAGAGGGCATCTTCTTTGATTCTCTTATTTGATTCTGGTGTGACTTGACCAGCCCAAGAGCAAGTGTTGTATTCATCTACCTGGTGGCAATGAACAGGGACCAGACACTCTGCATACATCTACTCCACTAAATAAAAGTGGGAAAAACAAGATCCCCATCCCCACAAGGTCTCCATTCTTCCCTGTCAAGAGATACCATACTCATGCAAGCAAGCACAGGGAGGTGACTTGCTGAAAGAAGGAAAAGAGGGCCTGGAGTGAAAGAAACCCTAGAGCAGCTGAGGGGCTGAGGGAGCGCAGGTTTGGTGTCACTGCCATCTGCACTGCCAGTGGGACAGGCACAAGCGAAGGGTAACTGCCGAAGTCCATAGTCCTTCATGGCTGCAGGCACCACCAGCTTTGCTTTGGGTGGAAAATCCACCCAACAGTTGGGACAGAAATGGGCACAGCCCCACAGCTAGGAGGACCTGCATTTTATTTAGAACCAGGACATAGAGGCACACAGCAAGGAACTGCCCCACCACAGCTTAGCTTTTGTTGAGGGTGAAGGCAACATGGTTTTACTTCATGGCCAGAGTGGGCTGTGAGGCCATGTATAGTTAATGTAGTTGACAAGTACTGACCGATTCAGCTGCAGTAATGTGACCGACTCTCCACACCTTTGCTGTCCACACCTGCTCCTAAAGCATCATGACCTAAGCGAGGAAAAACCCCAACGTGCCCACGGGGAAAATTATGTTCCAATACACCAAATAATTACTGTCCTGTGGAGACAGCTGCGAGCGTTGGGGTGGGATAGGACAGGACACAGCTACATTGCGTGGAAAGAGGCTCTTCAGGAAGTCCCGGGCCATGGTGAGACCCCCTGCACCGTGCCTTGGCCCTTGTCCAGCTGCCGGAGCCTTCTGCCTTTTTTTTTTTTGGCTGCCGCCACGAAGCTGTAACCCTGCAGAGAGAGACTTCTCTCTGGAGAGCCCCCTGACTCCTTAGCTACGATCCAGCCCAGGGCTTTTATTGTTCCTACACTGAAATATTAATGATGCCATCAGCCAGCTCACTGGCACTCTTGAGTTGTCTGGATCAATAGAAGCAAAGCAGACAGAGCCATGAAAAAGAGCTGCTTTTGGAGGGTTTGGTGTTTTCCAGGAGTGCTAACAACGATGCCCCAGACTCCCTCTGGGAGAGCTCCAGGAAAGGTCAGACAGCCCTCCATCAGTCCCCATTGATTCCTCCTGACTGGAGCTCATCCTAATGAATTGTCACAGAGGACCATTGTGCTAATCAACTCACTATTAACATGGGCTTAGAAATGATTATGGCATTGATTAGAGGCAGCTTGTCAGCCAGAGCTGGTAGTGAGAGCTTCCAGCTGGCTGGTTCTGAGACTTGGCATTACTGTCAGTGGTGGCAGGAGGTACCAGTCCCCACCACCCTCCTCTGCCCCTTCATTTGGGGACAGCGCTGAAAACACCCTCTGCTGCTAAAGGTAGCAAAAGCAGTCAGCTTTCATACAGAGCAGGATCCAGGAGCAAGCACTGGTCGTGTTTCTACACCGACTCAAGGGGAAACGAGAGGAGCGGGAATCTCCAGAGCCCAATCTGTCCTCAACCTGCCAAAGTGCAAGGTGTGAGCTCAAACATCAGGTTCATCCCCCCAAGCTCCTCGCACAGCACAGCATCTCACCCAGGCCAAGGATCCCTCCAGTTGCTTTGCTCCCTGGCCAAGGTGTCTGTGACTCCCCTGGCTGTAGGGGAGAGGTGGCAGCTCTGGTTGCGGTGCTTATCGGGACACCACACTTCAAGGCATACAGCACAACCCCTGTCTGTGACCTGACGCTGAGTACTACCTAAAGGATTAACCTGGGGCACATCTACAAACCCCAGCAGTAGCTGCAGCCCGGATCCCTCCAGGAGATCATCATGTGGCTGAGGTCCACGGCTCCCACCCACTCCCAGGAAACCTCCCCAGACATCTCCATCCCTCCTCAGTGGATGCTGGAGAGCATGCCATGGACCACCCATCCCAGGATCCCACTGAGTCCTGAACTCAACTTGGTTGTGTGACACTGAGGCAGTGGAGACCACGTCTCCTCATTCACTCAACTGTGCTGCTTTTTGCTTAGGGGCTCCCAAAATCTGGAGCTGTAACACCCTTTAGTGGGACAAATTTACAGTGAAAGGGCTCAGAGACAGGTAAATTTGGAGCCCAGAAACACCAGGTTCATTTCCCTGTGCTGGTTTAGGGCTTTTCTCATTTTTCTTAAGAGCGGCTACTTAAGAGGAAAGGCACCTGTGACCCTGGAGAAATGTCCGTGATTAGAAGGAGGAATTGGTAGACGCTCATCCCTCCAAGCAGGGGCTCTTCTGCTGGGAACCTGCCAGCTCGGGAAGGGGAGGGAGGGACCCAGCTGTGCCAATCTGCTGAACCACGGTACAAACCAGGATGAAATTCCCCTGGGAGGTGGGACAGAGTGGTGTATCTGAAAGCCTTTACGGGATGCTGAAACCGCGTAGGGAGGGTTTCAGTGACTGGTATAAAGAGGCTCATCTTCCCTGCAGCAGAAAGAGACTACACTGCCCCACTCACCTCCCACCCCCAGCTCTCATGGAAAGGAGGATCCACCTGAGGATCCACCTGAGGATGGTTTCCCCTCCTCTGCCCAGCTTCAAACCCCTCCCCAAAGCACACAAACTGCTAAATGCTCCATTAAGCCTTTCACACCAAGAGAAAAGAAGGTAAATGTTCATTTTACTTTTTACAGGAGACAAAAAGGTGCTCAAAAATACCAGCAGTGACTTGAAAGTTGGTGGGTGCTGCTTTATTGTGTGCAGGATTGGGGCAGCTTCCAAAAAGAGCATGAAGAAGACACGCACAGCCTCAGTCCTTTAGGAGGAACCCTGTTGGCTAGGCTTTTATTTACTGTGGTACATCAACACCCAGCGAGGTATCTGCAGCAAGAACTCTAACCCAGCAACCAGCAATGGCATATTGTGAGACCTGGCATGCAAAACCCCCTTTGGATGTTGGCAGCGGCTCCTGTTACTTGGTCTAATGTGGTCTGTAGTCAGGAGCTCTGCTCTGGGATGTACAAGGAGGGCTTTCCTATGGGAAAGTCTGCCAGGACCCTAGAAGTGGGTTTGGCCCACAGTTGGTCCATGCTATGGCCAAGCAGGGATGCATCCACTTTTTTCTCTCCTCACCGAGTCCAGCATTTATTGGGGTCTAAACAAAGACATCAACGTCTCCGGCAATGCCCATGGCATGGCTGTATGATTCGGGGGTTGCTGAGCTTTGGCTGTGGGCAAGACTCAAAGCTCCCACCATCTCTCCAGCCAGTAGCTGATCTTCCTGCTTTCCTTCTCCTCTCTGCCTGGCGTAGCTTGTGCATATCATTTTATACACTATTGTTGGGCTGGGGAGGGCATGGAATCTGCATCTCTGGAGGCTCTGAAGAAGAGGTTGGACTCTCTTGGGGATGGTCCGCACAAGTCAACAGGCCATGGGTACAAAATCACCTTGTCCTGGCTTTCCCATCACTGCCCTCTCCTTACACATCTCAGGAAAATCTCAGGCCGTACCTTGAGGAGCGCTCACCCACAGTTGATTGCACTCTTAGCAAAGGACCAATTGTAATAATACTTGACTCTTTCAAAGGACATTTCTATCTGTGGGTCTCGAGAAGCTTCACCACAGTACCCTCCACTTTTTGGTGGAGGAAAAGGGAACGTCCAAAGTTAGTAGTTTATTCACAGTCATGGGACAAGCCAGGCACAAAACACCTTCCTGCTCCTAAACTTGCAAAGGTACCATCTCCCCCCTCTGCTCCCACGGCCACCCAGACACTGCTCCCTACCCTCAGCGGTAGAGGGTAGGGGATACTGCTTTTTGGGGACAGCAGCAGCAGGTTCCTGCTCTGTCATTTGCAAAGTGCTCTGCAGCCTCAGAACTCTCTATAGATGCTTCAGAATAAATATATTCATGGGTGCTTTAAGGCCACAATGATACACAAATCGTTTTTGCTGCAGGGGACGCGATGCTGGCTCAGACCTACAGCCTGCTCTGAGCTGCTGGCTCACTTGCCCAGATCTGCACACACATGCGTGCCTGCTCCAACCCATCTCAGGACCAACAATCACCAGGCAGCACAAGCTGAGCAACGTGCTGGAGTACACCTCCCCACAGTGACCCCCAGCAAGAAACGGTGGCGGCTCTCAGGAAAAGCGTGGTCCAACCTCCCTGCACCAGTTTGTCCGGTGGGTTTGCAATCTGCAGAATACGGCATGCCCAAATGTACTTCAGCTTCACGGCAAGGTGATCCTCCACGGGACTGGTCTTCAGAGACACCAAGCAGCCACAGTCGCAGCAGGAGTCACTGCAGCCTGCAAGCACTCGGCATCCTTGCAAGGAGAAGCGCTCCATCGCAAACAAGCCCTCCCTTTTTAATGGCTAGGGTGAAAACTGGAAGCCAGGGCTCTCTCCAGGTTGTCTCTCCCGTTTCTAGTATGGCAATTTCTTATTTTTCCATCAGGCTTTTGGTATGCAGTTGCCGCAGTTGGAGGGCTTAGGGCAGCCTCATATTTCCAAGCCAGCAAGACCCTGCGCCAGTCAGACCTGGTGAATCCCTGCTGAATTCACAAGTATGCAGTCTTATACTGTAGGCAAATACAGCAGCAAGCTCATGGCCCCCTCCTCCCCATCATTCAGACAGAGGACAGCAGGTATGGGGAACATTTCACAGGGCTGAGGGGCTCCAGAAGCTCCAAGCGGTCTTCCAATTTTTCTCGATGCCGTCCCTCATAAAAAAAAAGAACCACATAAAAAATGAACCAAGAACTGAACTGAGAGAAAGAAAAATGAAGACAAAAGCACAGCTGGAGCAAGAAGGGCTGAGCAAGAGGGTATCAGGCTTTAAAAATGATGGAGCCCTTCATCTGGGCTGGTTCGAGGCCGTCAGTGAAAGCGAGGAGGAAATACATCACCTTGCGGATCTGGGCTAACTCCGCTATCCGCTCCCCAAATTCCTGGGCATCTGCCTCGTTGCACTCCACCTCCTTGGCCCCTGGCTTCTTCCAGAAGATGCCCACTGGCTCCAGCAGCTGTCGGTTCATAAGGTGGGTGAGATCAGGAGTCCAGTGCTGGGAGGTGCCGGTCACCGTGACCTTCCCAGGTCTCTCCAGCTGGATGTTCCAGCGGAGGAAGCGCAGGTTGTGCTGCCGGATGAAATCCACTCGGTAGATGTGCTCATTGGGACGCAGCAGCTTCTCACCATCCTGGGGCCTCGCGTTTTTTTGCTGCAGGCTCTGGAATCGCAGTCGCATGCACCGGGTGAGCTGGTCATCGCGGACGAAGGGCAGCTCGAGCATCCCTGCCTCGGCTGCCATCGCCTCGGTTGCTCCTCTGCCACGTCCTCAGCAACGTTTGGCTCTCAAACAGGACACACAGGGGGAAAAAGCCTCCAAGCCCCTGGAGCTGGTGCCCCCTCTCCACAGTCCCAGCGATGCTAGGCAACCCGGCCAGTGACGCAAAACACGCTCCGGGGCTTCCTCTGGGTGCCCTCCCGCCTGGTTTGCAGATTAGGAACTGATGGTGCTGCTGTGCACGATAATCTATAGGGAAGGGATGTCTGATGTCAGCCTCCCTGGCAACCTCCCTGACAACCGTGGCTCGTTATCCTGAAACGAAGGCAGGCAGCCAGGGATGCCACCCGACAGGTCTGGGTGGCAGTGGCTTTCTCTGAGTGTAGGCTCATGGGATAATTCAGGTTCGAAGGAGACTCTGGAGGGGTCTGGTCCAACCTGCTGCTCAAAGCAGGAATTACTTCAAGGTTAAATCAGATTGCCTGGGGCTTTGTCCAGTCCATCTTTGAGTAACTCCATGGATGGAGATACCACAGCCTCTCTGGGCCCCTGTTCCAGCGTCTGACCATGCTCACGCTGAAGGTAAGCTGGAGCTTGTGCTGTTGTCTTTTGTCCTGTGACTGTGCATCCCCAGCAAGACTCTGGCTCCATCTTGTCCACACCCTCCCACTAGGTACCTGCAGACAGCAATAAGCTCCCCCTTTGCCTTCCCTCCTCCTGGCCACGCAAACCCAGCTCTCTCAGCCTCTCCTTGCATGTCCTGTGCTCCAGACCATCTTGGTGGCTTCCATCAGGCTCGCTTCAGTCTGCCACTGTCTTCTGCTGGGGACACCAAAACAGTGCCCAGATGGGGATTAACAAATGCCAGAGGGAAAGAATAATTTCCCTCGCTCTGCTGGCTGCATTCGTGTTAGTTTGGCCCCCATCTCTGCAATGGTACGTGTTTGACTCATAGTCAACTTGTCCCTCAGGAACACCCGTCCTTTTCTGGATGGCGCAGCTGGCAGGAGTCAGGCTCCACACTGCTGCTGCAGGTGGATGCCAGCAGCTCAGCAGGGGTCTGCCTGCCTTCGAACGGACTGGCCCGGTGTTGGAGAGGGTGCTCACATGTGGGCTTCACCTTAGTACGCCTTGGAAAGGGGAACTCAGGCACAGTCTGCGCCTTAACGCTTGTCTCTTTGGGCCAGATGGAGAAGCAGGTCCAAGATGCAAGCAACCCAAACAACCTCTTTCCAGGCACTGTAGGGATGCTCTGAGCCCACGTGAGCACCAGCAAGACCATCGTGCCCAAACTGGAACCACTCATTCCCCAGCAATTGCTGTGCATGATTAAATCCAGAGCACCGGTGCTGTGCTGGTGGGTTGTCCAGGCAGTGGATGGGATAAAGGGGGACAGGGGTGAATGCATTTCTCTTTGCAGGGTACTGGGTGGCTCCATGAGGCTGCGGATCCTGAAGAGAGGTGCCATGCCAAGCCATGCCCCCTTCTGCCAAGTGGCCCCGTGACACAACAGCTAAACCACAGCCACAGTTTCGGGTGCACCATGGAAAAGACCTGACTCCTGCAAGCGTCCTATGGCATCTTTGGGATGTAATCACTGGTTTGGACACTTGGAGAGTGCAGGCGTTTCAGCACAAAGCTTTAGACATTGTGCAGAGTCAAGTCGTTTGGGTTCTCTCCATCCTATCTGTGACTCAGGTTGGCTTCTGCCACATGCCATGTTTGCAGGGCACTTTGGGAGCTCAAACTGTGTTAAATGAACTCCAGGAAACAGTTTTTCTAAAATATTTTTACAAAAGGCTGTACCATCACCTGGACTGTGTCACACGTGACTCACAACCACCCAGAATGATCCCTGGAGGCTATCACTTTGACTTCCAGAAGAAAACTGGAACTCTTTTACTGAAAGAGTGGTTAAACATTGGAACAGGCTGCCCAGGGAAGTGGTGGAGTCACCATCCCTGGAGGTATTTAAAAGACGTGTAGATGAGGCACTTAGGGACATGGTTTAGTGGGTGGTGGTGTTGGGTCGACGGTTGGACTCGATGATCTTAGAGGTCTTTTCCAACCTCAATGATTCTATGATTCTATGATTCTAAGTCCCAAAAAAGACCATCAGAAGCTGTCCTTGGCCAGACAAACCACAGACACCAAGGGCTCAAGGTGGGTCATTTTCCTGGGAATTGTCCTGTAGTCACCAGTCTGCTGTTACTCCTAAAGACCCTGAGGACAGAATCAAGAAAGCTAAGAGCTACACAGACCCATCTGAAGGGACAAAAGAGAGGTCTGAGGAAACCTGACCCTTCTGGCTGTTCTCTGAGGTCTTGCCTCGCTTGTTCACTAGCTTTAAAGCACCTTTAGAACAACTGTTGATCCAACCCTTAGGTTTTAAAAGTTAAAAATACCTTCAGGTAACCCTGAAGACCTTTTTGACCTGAGCTACGTGTGACAATGTCACATGGACCTTGCTTGACTGCCTTGGTTCTTTTACCCCCATATGTGGTGGCAGTAGAAGGAACAATGACCTTGCACCTGATGATGGACTGCAGTGGGGTCCAGCCCCCAGGCACCATGTGGTGTTCCTCTCCTGCCCTGGCTGAGGCACAAGATCAGCCTTCGGGTCCTCCTCAGAAAGCAATAACTAACCCCAGGTTGTAGAAGACCTATGCAAAATGGACTTTGGGAGGTGGGTGCCCTCAGAGCTATCTGCTTGTGGCATCTCATCCAAGACTGCCCTGTGCTCTGGAAGCAGCTGAGGGGGAAGGAGACCAGTCTAGGTGGTGGAGATGCAGGGTCATCTGAACCATTTGGCTTCGGAGTCTGGCCCCTGTCCCTCGTTTGTTGAGCAATACCAATGCAACCTGTGGGAGCACAGGTTATAGATCCAGACAACCCTTTAGAACAACTGCTGGAAATTATTTAACGCCCCCCATTTCAGGGCCTTAATTTCTTTTCATAAGAGCTAGACAACTCTGAAGGGTCACAGGAAGGGTGTTATAGAGCCAGATCGCACCCAAAGCCACGTAGGGCCAGCCAAGAGTCAGGAAAATAGAAAACAGCTCTAAATTAACTTCGAGTCCCCCATTCCCACTCAGTGACTCAAACACCACAGGCTTAATGGGACATGGAGGGAGCCTTGGAGCGAGGTGGAAGAAAGCGTGTGAATAAAATCATCTCTTGGGATGCACGGGGATGTGACTGGCCCGTCCTATTCCCTTGAAGGTATTCCCCCTCCCCACACTTGAGAGAGACAGTTTCACTGTGTGAAGTGGAGCAAGGGGGACACAGAACCCAAGCTAAATCCTGGTGTAAATCAGGATTACATTTTCTAGCAGCAAGGGCAGACCTGGGCCAAGATTGCTGTATTGATATTTCAGCGGTACTAAAACCTGCATCAGCATCTTTCAGCTCCTCCTGGACCCTGAATCAGAGACATTTTGGTGTCTAATGACACTAATACTAGGTTTTAAACTAGGTTTAAAAACCTAGTGTTTTGCTGCCTTGTCTGTCCTCTCAATTGTTGCTTACATCAGCATATTGACCTGTCAGGAGTAGAGGTTTGCCCTGCAGGCATTGGGTCCTATGTGTGGAGATGCCCAAGGGCCAAGGAGCAACAGGTACCTCCAGCAATGTTATCACAATTGCACGTGCGACTGTACCAAGGACCAAGAGGTCCATTATTTCTGGGCCAACGAAGGGGTCCGAGATGTTTGGCAAGGACCGTGCTCTAATCCCAGCACATCCAGCAGAGCTGGTGTCTCTTTGGACCAAGGGGTTAATCTGTGCACTTGACGTCTCCCATTTTGCTTTAAAAGTTGCTGCTGCAGTTTATAGCCACGCTTACTCCTTGCAATTCATCGTAAGCCCTCAAAGCACCTTGCAAAAGGTGAGCAAAGGTCCCATCTAATTCAGAGGTCTCCAAAAGCAGGGGTGTGCTGAAGCATGTCTGACCAGAGCCCTGTAGTGAACACCACAGCAAACAACTGGGAGGGAAGGCTTGGGGAGAGGGCTGCAGCTTTTGCTTTTGCCAGAAAACAAACCTTTCTGAAAGAAAGAGGAGGAGGAAAAGAAGAGCATCTGAGAGTTAAGGGCATGGAAACTGAGAAGTCACAAACACCCACAGCCAAACTGCCAAGGGAGGAAAAGCAATGCCGTTGGCAAACTGAAATAATGAGGTGTCCAAAGGGACCTGGCTTTTGTTCGGTTGGCATTTCCCAGGGCAGGGCTGGAATTGAATGGGGAGGAGGGAAGACAACTCGCCCGCTTGCCCTTGGGAGACGTTGATGCAGAGGAACAAGCTAAACAACCCCTTGCACCACACCTGTAACGAGAGCCACAACAGTCACCACAGCCACGATGGGAGGAAACCTTACTGCTTATCCAGAAGCCAACAACAACTATCCTGTTCCCATATAAAGAAAAACCTTGATTTTAACAGAAAATGGGGATGCTGCAACAAACACAAATTCCTGAGCTTAGTGTTCACGATCACAAAAACCACAAGCAGCAGAGACTGGAAGTACCACAGCACACAGGGCAGATGCAAAGGCGTAGGGTGGAGGGACCCCTTTTGGGTCCGTTGCAGTAGGAGGCTGTGGGTGAAGCAGGTGATGCCGTCTGCACACGCTGTAGGACTTTGGTGGCTGCCTTTTGCAGTAAAATCTAGGAAAAGGTGCTTGCAACTTGCTGGTCTCTTGTCCTACGATGAGGCACGCCTGTACCAGGGTCTGAAGCCCCGTTGCCTCGGCTTTCACAGGACTGACTTCTGTAGCTGAGGACATGGTGGAGGCAGGCACAGACTGTCCAAGGATGCGGCAGCGAGCACCTCTTTCCCCCCTGTACCTCTGTGGTTGCTCCCCGGGTCTGCAGCCCCTTGCTCTGGTGCGGCTCCTTGGTGGCTTTCTGGCCCACAACACGGTCCCTTTGGACCACACACTCGAAGGATCACTGCTATGTGGTGCAATCCAGCCACGGGCCATGCCAGGGGTGGATGCTTTGGGGAAGCAGCGGCTTGGAAGAGATACTAATACCCTCAAATCACCCTACCTGCCTCAGCGCAAGGTGTCTCATTGCCAAGGTGGGCACACACTGAGCAGCCAAAGAGAGGTAACACCAAACTAGGGAGATGGGGCCAAATGCTGCAGCTGAGCATCCTGAATTTTGTTCTTCTTTTTGCTTTTTAGGTTATTTTGGAGTGGGGAGGGCCAGATTTGGGATCTGGAGGACAGGACGGGACTTGATCCTCTTGGTTAAGGAGAAACTAGCCAAGGGTTTGGCTTGAGTGTGATGTGACTGCAGTCATGATGACCAATTCCCCTTGAAAGATAGTCCTTTAAGGGAGGTTTTTGCACATGAACAGTTTTTCAGGACCTGAGGCATCCCTGAAGAACCAGTTTTTGAGACGGACAAACACAACGCGAGCCAAGGTGTTGAAGACAGGCTTTCCCCTGGCACGGGGAACCGCTTACCTTCTGCCACAGAGACTCCCGGGACGCCAGGGAGGAGCAGGCAGCCACAAACCAGCAGTTCCCAACCTGGCCCTGGTGTAAGTCATGGGAGCTGATCCCATCCACAAAGAGATGTGGATCATCGCAGATTTCCTGTGGGACAGGAGAAAAACAGGCACAATGGGTAAGCAAGGAGACAGGGAAATCAGGAGCAGTTGTTGGCATTGCCAACACTTGGCAAAGGAAAATCTCTTTCTCTCTTCTTCAGGCTCCATTTAAATCCCACCCGCAGCTTTCTGCTGGCCTCACTCATCATGCTGGTGGCAGGAGGACCCTGTCCTGCCTTCTGCTCTCACCAGGACGTGGGCAGCATCACTGCCGAAGTGACGCCAGACCTACTCCCTATTCTGTTCCATCATCAGCACAGCTCTGCTATAATTATCCCTGGTGATAATGGTATGTTTTCACACCATTACAGCCCTAGTGACCCATCCCGTCTTCTAAGTCCACTCTTTGTTATTTCTCATAAGCCCTTCAGCTCTCTCTACTCCGTGACTGCTTTACAAGCTTCTCCCTGTCTTGTTTTGCTCTGGAGAGCATGAGAGCATCACTGAAACCCACTGTGTCCCATATTGGCACTTGTGGACCCATCCAAAAATAAAACCCTGCAGGAGCAGGGCAGAGCCAGGCATTTAGGTGAGGAATCGCAGTGCCTAAATCAGAGAGTTCACCCAGGAAAGCTCAGCGCAGCTTGAGGGCTCAGCCATGGTTGCAAGAAGCCAAGTGTCCTCACCCGGGAGGTCTGTCCTTCCAGATCTTAGCACAGCAGACGGAGAAAATTCGGTGAGCCAAAAGCTTTGCAGCTGGGCCAGGAGGATTAAATGCTCATTCTGACACCAAAACCAGCATGGCAGATTGTGCACGGGCACCATGAACGGAGAAACTTGGGTAGGAGGCAGCTAGGAGGTGAGCTCATCCCTCCAACCACTCAGACACCAACCACATCGCTTTTCTTCTGCTCGGCTCCTGCCAGGCTGCCCTCCCTTCTTCCCACTCCCACTTAGAGCCTGGCCAAGAAAGCACTTAAATAACAGAGGGTGTTGAGCAAGCTTCGTGTGAAACACTGCTTTTTTTTTTTTTAATCTTTTCTCCTGATCAATCCAGTTTGGAAGGTTATGTCCGCTGGAGGCTGGGAACGGATGGGACAGACAAAGAGCCGAAAGAATCTTTTCCCCTTTGTTATTACGTTTAAGTTGAAGGGGGGAAAGCAAAAGCAGATTTTCCTTCTTCCCCCACACCTCCCAGTTTTTCAGGCTGGCTGCACCCAGAATAACATGCTCCCCTGAAACTTTGCGCATGAGGACTTGCATTGCCTCCGCCCATCACGGGGAGGAAAAGGAATCGCTGCTCCATAAGCACCTCCTGCTCTTCCCACCTAACCCCGTCAGCACCGTACACCTGAAAAATAGCCTGAGCTCCATCCAGACACAAACTGGGCAGGGATCAAACCCAAGGGAGAGGATCAACCCCCTCCCAGCCGCAGGCGCTGCAGGAGGTTGGGATAAGCGCTAGAGGGAGGCAAGCTGACAGCCACCAAAGGCAAGAGCCACCTGCGCTTCCCAGCATCGCTGAGTGCAGACAGCGGCGGGAGAGGGGCGGTGGGCTTTAACTCCTGTTTCATACCACCGAGGAAGCATCCAGCTGCAGGGGATGAGTCCGTCCTGTCTGTTGGTGACGGGGATGTCTGCAAAATCAGCTCTTAGTGATCCTGCTCTGGGGGGGGGCAGAGGCACCGTGTTTGCTTGAGGGCTCAGCCATAGTTGCAAGAAGCCATTTGAGGACCACAGCTGCCCTTTCTACCCTTGGGTGAATCTGTAGCGTACCAAAAAGCGGTCGCTTGGTATTACATAGACAGGGGAGAAAATGAAAGCATGAAAAACATATCCTGCTTGGCAGAGATTAGCATAGGGTAGAGGGTGTCAGATGCTCAGGGACCTTTCCTAAGAGCAGAGCTGCCAGTTAGCTGTGATTTCCCCATCACCAGGAAGGAGTTTGCAAATTAAAACCCTGTGGTTGCTCATTTTAATAGAGGGAAGCCCCATGTACTCATCAAAAGAGCAGCCTGCTCTGGCACAGACGAGGGGTGCAGCTCATCAGACCCTACTCTCTTGGACCCATGGCAGCGACGAAGGTGCCACGGCTGGAAACGCTCAGGCCAGGGCAGGCTCCCTCTGCAAAACACAATTCTCATTTGACTCAGCTTCTCTTCCCACTAATGCAGATGGGTCCCTAAGGGCATATCGTTCTTGAAGGATCCATTCAGGCAGCTCTTCAGATGCTGCAGTAGGCGTTTCCCATTCAGGTGCACACTTGGATGTGGTGTTTCAAGGTGCTTTTGGTCCAGCGTGATTGTGCCTGAAAGCACACACTTGCTCTACAACTTAGCAGCCCGTGGACTTTTTAACCTCCTTCCCTCATAATGTGCAAAACCCCACGGCAGTTTGCAGCTGAATTGGAAGTTTCCTAGGAGCACGAAGGTTGTTAAATGCCACAATCCCCTGCTGTGGCAGGGGGTGACGGCCTCTCCCTTGACCCAGGATCTTGCATGCCTGGTGCCTGGAGATGCCATCAGGCCTTGGAGAAGGAGCAATGCTTTGCACAGGGATCAGCCCAGCATGATATACAGGCCCAACTGGAAGGAAACACCACGTGAGCTCTGCACAAAACTTGTGCAAATCCCAAAATGCTCAGTGAGTCTTCCCAGGGGTCCGCCCTGAAGGGCAGAGAGGGGCTGCCATGCTTCTCTGCAGAAGGACCATGCAGCACCCTCAAGCCCTAGGACTGAGCTCGGTCCCAGTGGACTCCCAGTGATCCTAAGCATAGAATCACCAAATCAATGCGGTTAGAAGGAACTTCTGGAGATCACCCAGTCCATCCCACCTACTCAAAGCAGGGTCAGCTAGAGCAGATTGCCCGGGACTGTGTTCAGTCAGGTTTTGAATATCTCCAGGGATGGAGACTCCACAACCTCTCTGGGCAACCTGTGCCAGTGTTTGGACCAGCCTCACAGTAAAAAAGTCTTTTCTCATGTTTAAATGGAATTTCCTGTTTTTCAGTTTGTGCTCACTGTCTCTCGTCCTGTCATTGGGCACCACGGAGAAGTCTGGCTCTGTCTTCTTCATTCCCTGCCATCGGGTATTTATGCACATCGTTAAGATCCCCCTGAGCCTTCTCTTCTCCAGACTGAAGAGTCCCAGCTCTCTCAGCCTCTCCTCGTGTCAGATGCTCCAGTCCCTTCACGACCTTCATGGCCCTTCGCCGCACTCGCACAGAGGAAGGCAGCATTGCCTCCTTGCTCTAACGCTGCGGAGCTGATCCCATCAGGGTAAGACTCATCCGTGGGTCGGTCTCCCCAGCAAAACCTCCTGAGAGGTTTCCCAAATCCCTTAGACTTGAGCTTCCCAATATTAAATTACTTGGATTCTTCAGTCCCCACTGAAGCTGCTGAGCTCCCACTCACACATTTTCGCCCCGGTCTAGACTGCGTGGCCTTTAATCTGCAGGGATGACACTCCCTGGGTGCTCTGCCTGTACTGAGGTGGGAGCAAGGGACCAAGGCACTCCTTCAGCAAGGCTGCAATGCCCCCAGAATTGCACGGAGCACAGGGGGGCCCCGGTGTGTGATGCAGCACCTTCAGGGTGCAAAGCACACTCAGAGCCGTGAAGCACCATGCCCACATGCGGAGGTGGGTGATGAACTAAGACCAGTGGGAACTAGGTCAAAAAGAACCAAGAAAAGCATTAACTTAGTTTTCCTTTTCCCACAGACAGAGCTGAAAGAGATGAAGAGCTTGTTCTGCAGCCAGGCTGAATTACAGGGCCTGGGGTTTGTATGTGCAAGGGGAGGAGAGAAGCAGAGATGCTCTGATTACAGAAGGTCATCACCTTGGTTTCCTCCCCTCCCTCCCGTGCTGCAGACAGAAACCAGGTGAGCAATAACATTTACCCAGGCGGGCGCCGCTCCAAAAAGCAAACACCACATCATCCTCCCAGCACCATGACCCTGAGGGCAGCACACAAACGCGCACACCCACACATACCCTGGGGGCCTTTTGGGTTCAGGCATCAGCCACCACAGAGCCAGCTCAAACTGCCCCGTGGCACCCAAGGCTTCAGCAAACAGTGAGTCCATCCTGTCCTTCATCTCACCACAGCCAGCTCCTGGGTCGTGGCTACTCCTAGTCCGGACACAGATGGTGAACAGCAAGGCATAGGGGGGGACAGCCAAAAGCTATGGCTTCAGTGTGTTGCTCTTGACTCCACCTTGGCCAAGA